GCCAAAATAGAGACGAATAGCGCAGATAGCCCTCGTATAGCTTTGCGCGAAACTAAAACCAATCTACGTTGTTCATTTCACTTTTTTATTTCAAACTAATTAGTAGAGCCATAGAGTCCTCGGGAAAAGTTTTTAATGTTTGTGCGAAATTCCAAAAAACAAACAAACAAATAAACCTTCCAGAAAAGAAAATATTCTCCAGGGAAACAAAGATGAAAATCCCGATTGAAACACCCTTTAATGCTGTCGTTTCCGTTCATGTTATATGAATGTTTGTTTATTTGTTCTAAAGCACAAAGCTACACAATGAGCTATTTGTACTTTTCCAACGGAGGGAATTGAAACCCGATTTTAGCATTATAACTGTTGTTTGAAAAGATGTCAGAAAATACAGTAAGCATGCCTCGGATTCCATCGTACCTGAAAGCATAATGTCAGGCCTTTGGCCAAAGCTAAACCTCACACCAACAGGCTTACTCGGTACTTTAGATGGTAATATCACCCAAACCACCTACTGTTAAAGATAATGAAAGATTTGCATGATGCATTTGTAATGTCATAACAAAAAATTATTCAGCTTTTAACAACATAAAGCTATAAAAACACATTTATGAGAAACATATAAGTATTGTTGCGTCAGCGAGGTCACGTGACTAGTATCACGCCACCCCTTTCTAGAAATATCCTGTTCCTTCAAGAATGCCCTAGCATTTACTAGATATCTGTTAGTCTTGTATATATAAGACGTTCACAACGTGACGGGACTAGAGGTGATGAGTAATTGAACTGCAGTCAGAGAGAATATTGTTAAGCATGTGAGAATTATGGCGTTTGTTACAGAGCGACTGTTGAAATTAAGAGTATCGTAAAGTTGTATTCGGAAAGAATAAACCAGTTTTATTTAAGAAAGGACTTGTGTCGCTAAAGCTTCGTCGGAACGAATTTACGGAAAATTAACTAACGAATGGAGACGAAACAAACTGGTGTCAGAGAGTGGGACAGAAAATAAAAAAAAGAAGAAGAAGATGGAAACGAGAGGCGGAAAATCAAACTACAGCTTAGCAGATTTGATGGCAGCAATACAAGAACAGCAAAAGAAACAAGAAGAACGAGAAAATAAACAAGAAAAGAGATTACAGCAGTGGTTGGAGGAAAAAGAAAAGAAACAAGAAGAACGAGAAAAGCAACAACAAGAGAGACAACAACAGTGGCAAGAAAATCTGCAACAGTGGCAGCTCGAACAACAAAATAAAGAAGAGAGATTACAGCAGTTGTTGGAGGAAAAACAAAAGAAACAAGAAGAGAGACAACAGCAATTGCAAGAAAACCTGCAACAGTGGCAGCTCGAACAGCAAAATAAACAAGAGAGATTACAGCAGTTGGTTGGAGGAAAAAGAAAAGAAACAAGAAGAAGAGAAAATAAACAAGAAGAGAGATTACAGCAGTGGTTGGAGGAAAAAGAGAAGAAACAAGAAGAGAGACAACAGCAGTGGCAGCTCGAACAACAAAATAAACAAGAGAGATTACAACAGCTATTGGAGGAGAAAGAAAATAAACAAGAAGAGAGACTACAACAGTGGCAAGAAGTACAAATGGAAAACATTAGTAAATTTAAAAGCGAATTAGATACGTTAAAGGATGATCTATTGTCTTTTACACAAGGAGGATACATTAACCATCGACTTAATCAGCCCCAGACAATGGCAAGCCCCTTCCAAACCCCGCAGCTAAACCCTTATGCAGACATATTCAGTCCCGTTAGAAGCCACATCCCAGATATGAATGTCAGTAATAGGAGTGATCCAGTACGAAGGAAGCCACAGGAATGCGAGGGGAAGGCACCGTGGGAAGCATATGGAGCACAATTTGAGCTACTGGCAGAGATGAACGGATGGTCAG